CCCCCCCCCCGCACCTACTAATACAAGTAATCAGATCTACTCTGGTAAACATTCCATAATTAATTACATATTGCTCTTAAGTAGACTACACAATGGCATGGTATAATTATCTTGAAAACAGAGCACATGTTTGTATATTTATTTTTCTATATTTATTTATAGATGTTTATTTATATGTTTTATTTTTCAGCACAGCATCTCTCTATAGAGGAAGCAACTGTAACATACACAGCAAAAAAATGAGTAGCAATGACTCCCTCTCAGTCCATTAGTAATGCTAGCGATGATGCAATTAGTACTTCATCCAGGACAGTTTGGTGTTTTCTTCAGTGATTGGTTGTCTTTAAGCAGCGTGTAGCTACTACAGCCACCTTGAAATTATAAGGGTTTTTCCTAGTATATCCCTTGGAATTTTTAAAAGACCAATGCTCAAGGACTTGGTAATATTAAAAACACTGTCTCAGGCATGCACTGAAAGTAATTCCTGTACTCTCCAATTACTGGAAATGGAGTTTTCATTGTCTTTGGTAAATGGTTATCACAAGATAGGAAGTACTGCTTCCCCCAGTTTAGAGGTTTCCCGCAGTGGAAAACCAGCACCTCTTTGTTCTTCTCTTCAGAGTACCAGCACCTCTCAGTATCTACAGGCATTAAATAACAAGGGGAGTACCAGCATTGGGTACTGAATAACAAGGGGAGTACTGGCACTGGGTACTGGATAACAAAGGGAGTACTGGCACTGGGTACTGAATAACATGGGGTATGTACCAACACCTGTTTTCCCCATCTTCAACCACTGGTTTCCTGGTATGGTTTCCAGTGACTCAGTGCCTGCATAGAAACTTCGAAGATATATTGCATGTTTCTGAGATGCACTTTTTCCAAGAGAAGCCAAGTGTATCCCGTAATAACTGCAGGTTGCTTTGCCAGACAAGTAGGATGTAGGATCAAGATGGGCACAACATCTTGGCTTGGAAGTAATGATCCTGTAGTTGGTGCTATGCTCTGTTGCTCTTGCTATGCTAACATCCATCTTGATAGACACTTGTCTGGCAGGCCTGTGTATCGGGTGATTAAAAATTAATTTCAGGACTATTTCAAAGGAACTGCTTACCTTGTAGTTCTTAGTCTGAGTAAACACATACAGATTTCCTTGGAAGCACAAACATGAAGCAGTGTAAACTGCAGATGGTTGCCAGTCAATCAGGCTCATCATCTTGAGGAGAACAACTGGTGAAATGGTTCTGGGCCCAGGGGCTGCCCAGGAGAGGGTCCTGGTGGGAGGGGATTGTGGGTCATGGGGGTCTGGTTGAATGAATTATGTGCAGTGGGCTTGCAGTCAATCACAAGGTAACCATATGCTATAACAGTGTGTCCCAACCCAGTGCCCTTCGACCCCCAGACAATCAATGTTTTTACTAGGGAGTTGGGAGGGAGCAAAAATGTGGACTATCTGGCTGGGAGTTGGGAGGGAGCAAAAATGTGGACTATCTGGCTGGGAGCCCCAGAGGACTAGGTTGGGAAACATCGTACTCAAACACTAAGGGCTATTTAAAAACACCTGTCCACCCTAAACAGCATGTGGAGAAAAGGGCAGCACAAGCCCAGCCACTTCTCAGGTCTCCTTTCTGAGCTGAGTAAATGCTTCAGTAGTATAGTCTGTCTGTATTCCCTACTTGCTGTGTGGACGTGCTTGATGGGCACCAGAAATAACTGTACAGGTCACAGGTGAATGCTGCTCTTGAGGTGTTGGATAGTTTCCTCCATTACTATTGAAATGAGATCGCATTTCCAATGGGTGTATTTTAGCTTTTTCTTCATTTTTAACCTCAGAACTGTTCTATTCCCCTGGGGTGTTATTTTCCATCCTCTTATGGTGTGATGC